AAATCGCTGCATCCCAAACTCGGTGTTTACATGATGCTGTATATTCGGTAATCAAGAACTTGCTCAGATATCACGATTTCTGTGTGAGGTGGTGATTGCTAACAGACAATCTTACAACCATAATTTCGAGAGATGAGGGTTGATGAAGATTTACCTTGAATAAAATAGGAATTACCAATGTAGAGGCAATGAGGTTTGGCAAGGTTTTAAAAAGGGTAAGCGTCTAACAGGAATATTTGAAAATGAGACTATGCTGACATAACCTCGGGTCTTTATCAATTTGCACCTCTCAAAATAATGTCTGCCCGGATTCAGCATCTATCATTTAAACTGTGGTATTCACAATAAGTTGGACGTGATCAATAAATGTCTTTTAATCTAATACATTGCATTCATCGCTATATTCATTTTTTCTTAATTACTTGCTATATCTATAAACATAATGAATGGATTTGGCAAGGTCTCTGTTACATAACTTATCATAGATTTAAATAAAAGCAAAATCTACTTGGCGAAGAGGGGCGCACAGTTCATTTCCATGCGTATCACAATAATTTTGAATTAGAATTAACACCTTGATCATTGTCGTTAAAAGTCAATCTAATCGTAGAAATAAACAAAAAACAACAAAAGACTGAAGATTAAATCTCGCTAGTACTTTCGCCATTATTGGGGCTCTTAAGGCAATTTGAATATATTTGAATTGTGACATCATTTAGGATAGTACCTTCGGTATTTTTTAAACACCCATCGTGAATTTTCACTTGTTGTTTTGTTCACCGAAGGCAGTGACACTTGGTTATAAAGTTGTTTCGTTTGATGTGGTTAGCCATTACACTTACATACCACATGATTTAGGTATCAAGGCAGTGTAGAATGGTCTGCAGAGATATCAGTGTTAGGGTACGACCAGGGCCACAAACATTGTAACCATTACCAGCAGTGTTAGGGTACGACCAGGGCTATAAACATTGTAACCATTACCAGCAGTGTTAGGGTACGGCCAGGGCTACAAACATTGTAACCATTACCAGCAGTGTTAGGGTACTTTGTTTGTTTGTTTGTTTGATTTTGTTTAACGTCCTATTAACAGCTAAGGTCATTTAAGGACGGCCTCCCCTGGGTGCAAGATGCATGCGTGTAGTGTATGTGTGTGTATTTTGGGAGGCTGCGATATGTTCGTGTTTGTCTCCTTGTGATAGCGCGAAACTGATGCCGACTTTATAGTGCTACCTCACTGAAACATTCTGCCGAAGACACCCAGCAGGACGCCCCACCCGGTCACATTATACTGACAACGGGCGAACCAGTCGTCCCACTCCTAATTTGCTGAGCGTTAAGCAGGAGTA